TAATTAATAATACAAATACAACGTTAAATATTATAATTTAATTGATAATACAGATTAAAAAATATTACAATTAATAATATAACATCAATATAAACAATAAAAAAAAAATTTTTTAAATTTAATTTTGAAGAAAAATTTAATATCAAAGAATTTACAACTGGAAGAATAATCTACAACTGAAAAAAGAAGGTGTAAACAAAAGCAAAAATTCATGAATGCGCCATGTGTACAAAACAGATTGAAAAAATTGGAATTCTTATTAAAAAAAACAGAACCCCTTGAAGAATGGTCATTACCAAGAAACCTCAATGTCCGGGAAAACAACAAAAAAAAATTTATATTAAAGTTAAGTAATCTTTCATCAATGCTCTTAATTTAATATTTTTAATATTGAGTACTATATATAAAAATATCTGCTGTTTCTTAAATATGATATATGACATGGGAATCAACACTGCATAATGATTGACTGTTTCATGACTTAAACACTCATCAAATCCCAAAAAATCATTTCTGATTAAGACATTCCCATGTAAGTATGGAACAGTTTTTTTAATCACCTACGGAAGATTCCAAGAATGTTTTGACAGTAATGGTGAGCAAAAAGAAACTGTTTGAAATCAGATTAGTTTGGTTTTGCTAACAAAAATATGGCGTGCTTTTTGACTCCCATCCCATTTTAGTGTGTGTGTGTTAGAGCACAGTTGGCCCTAACGAAAATATTTAAGAAAAGTTATCTCCCTTTGAGCGGAGGGATGAAAAATAAGTTTGTTTTTTTTTTTTTTTTTCACATCCCCTTTTTTGGAAGGACAGGGCATTCTGAGTACAAAGGAGATCAGCCATGACACGAAGGTGAGCTACACAGATCTCCAAGGCTCACATCTTATTACGCATCCAGTGGTTTCACTCACCATCCGAACTATTCTCATTTAATAAAGTTTGTTGATAGTCTATACTTTCTTCCCATCTTATCTTTCTTCACACAACCACATTTCACTCCCTGGGAACATAACAAAATTGGCATTGAGGTACGGCTGAACAACACAGACACACAAGGATTGATTTAACAATTCAGCAACTTTTACAACAACAACAACAACAACTACATTGATGGAATTATTCTCTGAGAGATTTTCTGCATCCACATCAGTGCCTTCAGAAACAAAAATATCCACATTAACAGTGGTGGTGACATATTCAATCACGTAATTCCGCTATGACCCAACTGATAAATATCTTGAATGTGACCCAGCTGATAAACTGTTGTAACCAAAAAAAAAGGTTACTGAATAAGAACAACCAAAACAAAGGTTGGAAATGGAACTCTAATCTTTATAACATTAACGACATAACAAGATTCACCAGTGGCGTGTAGTAAGTAATTCACTGCAAGTGGTGAATCCCCCCCTCCCTGGGACAGTATATTCCCCCCTATTTACGAGGATTGGGACATACCCATTATAACCCATAGGTACTGTAACATAAACAGACTTTCTACACATGGTTTGAACGATTTGAGGATCTTTTCCGGGTGGAATTTAAAGAACAGGCAGACAATTGAAAAATCGGGCTCCTTTTACAGAAACTTGGACCCTCTGAACATGACCATTGCACAAACTATATTTTACCGAAACACACACAACAACAATTTTGACAAAACAGTTGAGACACTACGACAGATATCCGGTGAGCAAACTTCTCTTTTTAATATGCAGTTTAATTGCCTTAATATTACAAAGTGTGACTCAGTTGATTTTGCTGCATATGCTGGTATTGTAAACAAAGAATGATCGAGATTTAAAATCACCTCAATCACCAATGCACAGTTTAAGTGTTTAATCTTTGTATGTGGTTTGAGGTCAGTATGTGATCCGGACATTTGCACAAGGATTCTATTCAAAATTGAACAAAACCCTGATATTACTCTGCAGCAAGTTGCAGTGGAGTGTCAACGACTGGTGAATCTTAAACATGATTTGACTATGATACAACAGTCAGTACCTTCAACAACTGCTGCAGTCAACGCTGTACCACACCACCGTGTTTGACAGTAAAGGAAACCTCCATCTACTTACTGGAATTGTGGCAGATCATATTTTGTTTGTGTTATGGGGTCCACCCCTTTTTCATATGTGGACTCTACCAGTGTTACTTGGACGGCTGCCGTTAAATACCCAGAGTTGCAGTCAGTGAGGGTAGTCGGGTATAGTGAGGATATATGAACGGAGATAGTGAGGTAACCTCTTGTAGAAGTCAGTTACAAGCATGTAGACTCTAAGGAAGTCCTACTTCGAGACTGTATATATCTATCTGTATTTGCTACTAACCACGTTCCTGGACTTACTAACAGTATTACTCTTTGTATGATTGTGTAAATACATTTTATTTCTTATATTTAATTATTGTGTTTGTTATTCCTTGGAGACCGAATTCATCTTGGAATCCACAACAGTTTGGTATTGTCCGTTCAAGTTGCATTATGGTCGGGAATGTAACTGAATGGGACACAAAGAGGGATTCTGCACCCCCGCAATGGTGCAAGCCAACACAGAATACACAGTAACCACATAAATACAGTCAGCGTAGGAAAACACACACCAACAGTCTGGTTGGAAATTTTCTCCCAAACTCTAAAGCGAAATGCAAATATGTGGCAGTAGAACTGAATGGCTGTTCTGTTTGTCTCAAATTGACACAGTCTCCGATATAACCCTCATATCTCAGACACTATGGAAAACCATAGACCAACCGTCATTAACACCAACCAGTCATGTAGCACAAAGTGCATCCAGAAATTGTGTCAATAACATGGACGAATTACCATCAACCATCACCCTCAAGGACAAAACGGTGTCTGGAATTATTTACATTTCAGACTCTAGTCACAACCTATCAGAATTTGATTTCATTGAGTTACTGGTTCTTCTGGACAATCCACTCAATTCTGTGTGCAATTTTGTATCCAGATCTTCATCTCAGGGCAGCATTACTGACCTGACCAAACAGATAATCAGTAAATTTTCTGCAGTTTTCACCAATGAACTGGGATGCTGTACTCCAGCAGAAGCTACATTCTCACTCAAACCATCCAACCACTCTTCCAGCCCAAACGACCAGTACTATATGCTGCCTTTCCACTGGTAGACAAGGACTTAAAACATCTGGAAGAAATAAAAGTTATCACACCTGTAGCATATTCACAGTAGACAACACCCATTGTAGTGGTTAAAAAGCCAATGGCTCTATGCGATTTTTGTACTGATTTTTTTTTCAACTAGGCAACAACATCAGCGCCATGCAAATCAAAAGAAAGAAAATACATTTCCAGTTTGCCAGAAATTACAGGTCTGGTCAGCAGAACTTGGACACCTGGTAACATTCATAAAAGAAAGGGAGAATACATCTATGATGTACAAGTTGGAAATCAACTGTGGACATGGCACAAAAATCAAATACTTCCCAGATACAGCAAAAATGCAACAGTCCAGCTATTCCATTAGATTTATTGATGGACACTTTTGAACTGACATCTCCTTTACACCCCCATCTACATTCAGGAAAATCGAATTGAGGATGAAAGACCTCACAGGCAAAAGCACAATTGCACTAGGCTGAGACACCTTCATGCACAATATGACTAAATGCTTAAACAGGAAAGTGTTAGAACACAGTTGGCCCTAACGAAAATATTTAAGAAAAGTTATCCCCCTTTGAGTCGAGAGATGAAAAATAAGGCTTTTTTTCTTTTTTTTTTTTTTTCTTTTTTTTTGTCACATCCCTTTTTTTAGAAGGACAGGGCATTCTGGGTACAGGAAGTTTGGCCATAACATGAAAGTGAGCTACACAGATCTCCAAAGCCCACATCTTATCATTACATATCCAGCGGCTCCACTCACTATCCAAACTGTATTTTCATTTAATAAAGTTTGTTAATAGTGTATCCTTTCATCCCATCTTATCTTCATACAACCACATTTCATCCCCTGGGAACATCACAGCGTGCCTGCTAACTTATTGAGTATGACAACCTATAGATGATATTGTTGCAAGACTGGGTTGTGACTTACAATATTATGGAATCCAAAATGGAAAATCAATCCCAAAAAGTCTAGGGATTCATTCCAAGGCGGAAGAGACACAGGATTTTATCGTGAGTACCAGTTTCATGTATGCAACAATCTGTTCAATGGAGGATCACTTTGAAACTATCAGTTATTGTAACGTCCTGTGTATCTCATGTTTTTGTGTGTGTATATATATATATATATATATATATATATATATATATATACACACACATTCCATTCTGAAGAGACACAGGATTTCATCATGACTGACAATTTGATGAAGAAACAGATCTTCAGATAGTTCAAAGGATTGTTTTCTAATGGCTTTATTGCCTTTGATCTTCAAAAATTTAAATGCAATGTCAATTGTTATCTTCTGTCTTCTTAATTCCAGTTCTTTTATTGTCCTCTTTCCTTAATAGTAGTTTTTCTCATATTCTCTAACACTCAGTAACCCCTTGTGTCTCAGTGGCTTTATTGCTTTGCTTTGGGTGGAATGACACAAACATACAAACACATTCCATTCTGAAGAGACACAGGATTTCATCATGACTGACAATTTCATGAAGAAACAGATCCTCAGACAGTTCAAAGGATCATTTTGCATATGAAATGTTCATAGTGAAGTCTGGACTCTTTGGGACTGACTGTTTTTGCTGAGTTTCAGTTGGGTTTTATCAATTTCTTATTGGCAACTCAGGCCCAGTAGTTTTTTTTTTTTTTTTTTTTTTTTTAGTTTAAAAATGTTTTATTCTATGTCTGTATACATGCATGCAATATTTTTTTTATTTTTTATAATGGAACTCTATTTTAAATGTCAGGGAATGCAAGCAGAAAAAAGATGTTATATGACCCATGTTGATGTCTGTGTGTCAAAAACAAAAAAATGGAAAAGAAAGAAAATCTAACTGTATTTATTTACTTTCTTTGCAGATATTTTTTCTCATGTCCCCTGTCCGCACTCTCTTCGGTTTTACGACAAAACAGGGAAAGTTGTGGATTCAAACCTCAAGACATTGATAAAAGAGAGACAAAAGGTAAGACTTTGTTTCATGAAGTCTGTTTAAAAATTCTTGAATGTTTTTCTTTTCTTTTTTCTTACTCAACAGAGTGTGGCTGAAATACACCCCCACATAATGGTAAGACATTAGCTAGATCATTGGTTCTCAAACGGTTTGCCATACCTCACATGCAGCGGAAGAAGATCGCAGGTGAGGTGGAATGATTGAAAGATAATCAAAGATTTAGAAACAGTTTCAAAAACTCCATATGTCAAAAATAAATATGATTTCAAAACTTAAAATATTCTTATGGATTACTTGTAATTGTATAAAGCTATAAAGAACCAGAAAAAAAAAGCTATAATTCTTTAAAAGCTTTTATAAAAAGCTATAAAGGAAAAGAAACTGTGGAGAGCCATGTTCGCCACCATCCTGAAGGTAAATGGTACATTGAATAATAATGTTGTAATGTTTTTCAACTATGCATTCATTTCAAACCCACAGAAATTTTCAATGAAGCAATTTCGTCTTATTTCCTAACAGCGGAAAAGGTCATTTTGTTGCTAAAAGGAAACTTTATATAATAGATCATTTATACTCTGTAGCCCGTATCTACAATCAAATTGCCGGGTGCCTTCCTATAGGGCAAACGTTGTGGCACACCTCATAGGGACAGTGGAAGAGAATAGCCAATTAGGCAGAATGATTGAAAGACAATCAAAGATTTAGAAACAGTTTCAAAAAATTCATATGGCAAAAATAAATATGATTTCAAAATTTAAAATATTATTATGGATTATTTTAATTGCATGAGTCCAGTATAAATAGTTATAAATAATAATCGTTATCTTATGTCTTAATTTCAGTTCTTTTATTGTCCTCTCTCATTAAAAGTAGTTTTTCTCATATTCTCTAACACTCAGTACCCCCCTTGCATCTTAGTGGCTTTATTGCCTTTGATCTTCAAAAATTTAAATGCAATGTCAATCGTTATCTGCTGTCTTCTTAATTCCAGTTTTTTTATTGTCCTCTCTCCTTAATAGTAGTTTTTCTCAATTCTCTAACACTCAGTAACACCTTGTGTCTTAGTGACTTTATAGCTTGGCTTAGGGTGAAGTGATTTTAAAAAAAATAAAAAAATACGTGTCTTGGGTTAATGGAGAATCAGTGAGAAAGTTATGGGCACGTTGCCGAGTGGTTAGAACATTCGCTTTCAAACCATGAGACCAGGGTTCGAATCTCACCAGAGTCAATTTCTCTCTTGTCGAAGAGTGCATATTTTTCTTTATGATTTCTTGAATACTCGGACCAGTAGATGAAAATAAATAAATTTATTGTCTAATGAATAAACAGAACATCTACTCAAATATGAGTATCCAGTAAAAATAACATTTAAGAAATAAAAATCTGTTGGCTTAATAAATGAATAAAAAAATCCATTCCCTTTCTTTACACACATATACATATCCACACAGGATGTCCGTAAAGTCTCTTTTCAACTTAAAAAAAATTCTTACAAAAGCAAATGTACAGAGAAATATGTGGGAATTGTTACAAAATGAGGAGTAGATATTGAAATTTTTTTTTTTTTTAACTAATTTAATTTGTCACTATATGGGTGCCATTAGTTGCATGAAGCACATAGGGATGGTACTCGATTTCTTGTCATGTTCACTATGACATAACCTCATCAATGGTACCAATTAGATCAGTGATCTTTTGTTTTAGATCAGTGATGTCTTGTATCTTTGTTCAATCTTACTTATTATAAAACGCAGATTGTGTGTGTGTGTGTCTGTAACGTTTATATGTTGGATCGAATTTCCTACATTTTTTAGCTGATTTCAACAAAACTTCACAGGACTACATAAAATTACCTTGTGGTGGTTCTAATGGGGCCGAAAATGGGAAAAACACAGTTGTTTTTTTAATAAAATCAATTTGAAAACACAATTAAGACACATCGTGAGAATGAAAGGGGGACAACTCACCCACGAAAATGTAAACAAAAGAGCATAGCATGATGAAAAAGACGCCAAACTTGACAAAAACAAAATTTTATCGTCTAATGTTCATATTATTATTAAAGAGGAAAGATCAAAGTATTTTGGGGGTATTTTTTTACATTTTTTAATCGTTCCTAGCACGTCTGAAATTTTCGTTAAAAATATTGTTTTTTTTTGTTTTTTTTGGTCAAAAAAAAGGACAGATAATCATTTTCAATTATTTTTTTGGGTTTGATAAAAAAGATTAAAATCTGACTTTGATATTCTTTTAAAAATCAATTATCATTTTTTCAAAACTGATTTTAATAAAAACAGAAATTATACTGTTTATTTAAAATATTTTGAACCAAGCTTAACTTAGCTTCTGCGCCGAAAAAATGTAATTTGAAAATAAAACAAAGCAGGTCATAACCTTTCGCGTCGCTTGACGATTGACAAAAGGCACATTCATGACGTTTAGATAACTTACGAGAGGAGAATTCTTTCTGCGGATGGAAGGAAGTGAACAAATTATTTACCTTGTTACTTTTAAGGAAAACTTTCAGCGCTCTAATTTTTTATTTTTTATTTTTTTTTTTTGTACTTAGCTTTCATTTTTACGTTTACGATGCTTTATGGAAAATATAAAGAAATTAAAAAATAAGACTGTTAATAGTGAGATTAAATTTCATTAGAAAAAGGTATCTAATTAGGTACCTTTCTTATGAAATTTTATCAGAAGTGTACATAAAATACTATAATTTTATGTACATTTATTACATTTTACTGTGTTGTTTGTATTTCCATTCATTTTATTATTAATTTTGATATTTCATTTATGGAAAAATGTCATAACTGAGATTAATATAAAAATAAGATCATATAAATTAAAGTTTAGCAGTAGTTAAATTTCATAAGATGATACTGTTACTTGTAGGTACCCTTCTCAGTTGAAATTGAAAACTCAAATTAACTTCTCCATAACGTTTTTTTAAGAAAAGTAAAAAGGGCTTAACAGCGGAGAACAATGCTGAACTCAAATAATGCAACTAAATTGTATTCTGGTTGGTCTTCCGTACTTGATAATTACTGTCCGACTATAAACACAAAAATTACATTTCTTAATTACCATGGCTAATGTGATTGGTCCAAATTATACAATTTTCAAAGCGCTAGACAATGACAATCTCACACGGACATTTTGAAAGGTTGATGTTGCTTTTTAACTAATGTTAAAATATTTTTAAAAATTCAATTTAAACATTTTTTAAAAATTTTTTAAAATTAAAGAAATAAGAAATAATTGTATTAAAAATTCAATTTTCATTGAAAAAATTTTTTGCTTTCAGAAAATATTGTCCATATTCATAAAAACAAATTAAAACAAATAAAAGCATTTGAAACTAAATAATATATTTGTTTTATTGAGTTTTGTATGTTACAATTCACAGCTGATTTTCAGGTACGTTGGCCAAAAAAAAAAAAAAAAAAAAAAGACATGATTTGCATTCTTCAAAGCCTTGTGCTTTTAACTATTGTAATCACTAAAACCGATGGTCTCGAATTTATAGAGTTTTTCATAAAATTAGTTATGTGGGTGTTAATAAATATAAAAAAAAAATATTTCTGCCATGACTTTAATAAAAAAAAAAACATATTTATAATAATTTCGATCATCTGTGAATAGTTTCTGAAAGTTTCATTAACATCTGACAATTATTTTTATTTTTGCAAGATTTTTCAAATTAATGTGTGTAAATACAAAAAAACGCGCTAAAAATTATCTATGTTATTTACTACCCCTTGTTGTGACAAAGAGAAACAAGGTTTTTTAAATCAAAATTTAGAATATTCTAAAAAGATGGAAAAATTTTAAAAAATAATTAAAAAAAATTTAGTCTATCCTCTTCATAAAAACATAAGCATTTTGACGATAAAATTTTGTTTTCATAAACTTTGGCGTCTTTTTCATCAGACTATGCTCTATGTTTTAGCGATTCCGTGGAGTGACTTAGGTTAAAAAACCCAGGTTGTTTATGTGTGTGTGTGTGTTCCTTTATATATGGGATCGGATTTCTTACATTTAAGAGCCGATAAAACAAACATCCACTTTTTTTTTCGGCCGGTAGTATTTCTTATTGTCTTGCACACTTTTTTCTTTATTTACATTCAGAATGCTTTAAAAATTCCATTTACAAGACAATTGTTTATAATAAAATTCTATTCACCAATCGATAGACTCATAACGATTGTAAACAATGTTTTTGTTTGAATTTGGGTTTGACCAATTCAAAAAAAAAAAAAAAAACTAATTAAGACATACGTGTCCGTCAACCTTAAACAATAATCTTTGTCAATTTTATTTTTCAGTCTTTATGATGGTCGATACTTGATCTATCTCTTACTGTTACATCCCCGGGCAACGCCGGGCTCTACTGCTAGTATACAATATCTTTAACATAACCCCATAGAAAGAAGTCCGGCAGATTAATATCTGGTGAACGAGATCGCAAGGGAATTGGGCCAATTCACTGGGCTGGAAATATTAGGGTTTCATTTAACAGTACCTTTTTCATCAACAGGATACTTGAAATACACAAATGCAATATGATTAAAAACTTTGATGACTACTGAGTACATCAAATAAATCTGATTAAGATATTTCATCAATTGGCTTTGTAATATATTTTTAAATTGTAAAGAGACTTTATGTGTGTGTGTGTGTGTGTGTGTGTGTGTGTGTGTATGTATATATATATATATATATATTTATACAAGTTTCATTAAATAATATAGACAAGTGTTGTCTATTTATTTTATGTAAAATTTTTTCGTATCTTCTGATAAGTTTGGTAACATTATCATTAAAAAAAAAAAAGTAGGCATTTAAAACAACATGCCTGCCCACACACAATTCCATAAAATACTTGTCGAAAAACACAACTATACTTGACATGAAAACAATAGACAAAAACTAAAAATACTTGAAGCATTATACATCAAACAGTTAAACCCAACCTAAACAAAATCAACTATGGAATCTCTACAAATATTCTTAAATGTCTATAATTTCAATAATTGGTAACAGAAGCCATTGATTATACCAACGGCTTTCCTTATTTCATTCTCCAATTCACTCTCGTGTAGTCATGTGTGACGTCATGAGATGCGATTTTCACTTCTAGTGTCTTATATGCGGCGTGTTCATCGTTGCTTAGTGATTCACTATGTAAACAAAACAATGACAGACTATATCATCACTGTCGTGTCCGTATATTGGTTGATATGTTTGTATTTACATCTTTGATAATGGCTTGAGTAAGCAAAAGCTTAGATTTTATTAAAAAAAATAATGGATAAATATTGTGAATTTCTTTTTTTTAGGTTAATGATAATGTTACCAAACTTATCAGAAGATACGAAAAAAATTTTACATAAAATAAATAGACAACACTTGTCTATATTATTTAATGAAACGTGTATAAATGAAAATATGCTGCCTAAATACACACAATATATATATATATATATATATAATACATAATACATAAAAGGTTATTGGTCAGAGTTGAATCAGACCAGGAAACAGTTATGTTTCATGCGTGATACACACTTAGGTGATCATGTATCAAAAGATACATGACTGACGAGACAGATTTTTTCCCCCACAGTAGGTCTTTCTGCAATAGGTCTGTCCTGCTATTTACCCATAGCTGGGGGGAGAAGAAGAGGATTAATACCTTTCCCAAGGGTATTAGCATGTGAATGTAATGGATGCAACTGGAATTCAAACTCGGCTTTCCGATTCCTCAATCCGTCGCTATCCATTACTCCACTGTGCTTCTGACCAAGAAATAGTAGTATTAAAAAGTGCACAATACACATGTGAAAAAATAAAAGTAAAAATAACATGTAGAGTTTTTAACTTTAAAAATCAGATGGTCAGTTGAATCCACGACCTTGGTTTCAAGTTTACAGTATCCTCAGGCAATTTTTATCAAATGACCACCTAGTGCTTTTTTATTTTTTTTTAAATAAACTAAAGGATGCTACATTATTATTTTCCAAAATAAATAAACAAACGCACAATGTTGGGTGTAATAGAAAGAGAGGAACTTAAATGACAACCTATGGTTATACCATATACGTTTGAAAGTGCCATCCTTACAACCTATGTATGTTTTATTTTAGGTCGTTATTTACGCTAGCAAATCTTAGGTACTCTAGCTAACCATGTGGAATTTAAAAGAAATAAACAAGGATCCATTTTGTAAGGTAGAAATTTTTAAAGACGGCAAACCTTTACAACAATCACAATAATATTTGCAAACCCTTACAACAGGAATAATTAGTGATTATGACATCCAGAACTCAAAAACTTTTTAAACCAGAAATCCAAAGACTTAAGTTCTTGCTTACATATCCGAAAATTTTTAAGTGCTTATGAGGCTGGATGAAAAAAAATTAATTTAACCCCCTACCAATACATTTACAATACACTTGTTTTTTCTCTCTCCCCACTTCTCCCTTTGTATGACACCCAATATCATGCATTTGTTTATTTACTTTTTAAAATAAGAATATAGTGTTCTTTCGTCTTTTAAAAAAAAAGAAAAATTTGTTAGGTGGTCATTTGTTAAAAATCACCTGAGGATACCATAAGGTTAAAACCACCAAGGTCAAGGATTCAACTGACCTCAGATTTTTTATATATATATATATATATATATATGTGTGTGTGTGTGTATGAAGAAATATTGTCTTAAGGTGTGCTATATTTATGGGATAAAGTGTTCAATATCATCAATAGAGCATATGTAAATATAAAAGTGAACATTGAAGTCAACAGGCTGTTTCATGCTGGATGCAATCGTCAGGCCTGATGATTGTCTAGCATGAAACAGCCTGTTGCCTCTAAGTGTTGACTTCAATGTTCACTTTTTATATATATATATATATATATATATATATATATATTAAGAAATGGACAAATCTGACAATTTATTTATTAAAGACATTTTTATGTTTTAACGTTCTTTTTTATAGATACAAGTATTTAAGTAAATGCTCTGTTTATAATAAACAGTATTAAATAACATTCAGACTGGTAAATGTTATTTAATACTGTTTATTATAAACAAGCATTTACTTAAATACTTGTATCTATAAAAAAAACGTTAACCATAAAAAATGTCTTTTATAAATATATATATATATATATATATATATATATATATATATATATATATATATATATATGGAAGACGAAATTAGGCAATGCAACAGTAATAAGACAAAAAAGCTCACAAAAGTAAGAATGGTATGAACACACACAACAGATACAGTCAAGTAGTTGTCACGTTCTGACTTCAAGACAAGAAAGAACAACAATCTGGCAGATGAGCCCATGAAGTAGTCCATTTTTATTGGTTAGGAAGAAATCCCAGCATGCATCTGTACGATTTGTCTATAAATTTGGGAAGGGTGATGTTTTTTTTTGTAGTTATTCTTAACAGGATGGGAGACCAACAGTGCACAAGTGATTGCAATGGCCTCTGCTGGAATTTGAACTCAAGATGCAAATCTCACTTTCCACACCAATAACCAGTACACTATGTACACAGCCATGGAAAATGGTGGTGGTAGGGGGTGAGGTGCTGTTCTTATTTTTTCTAGTAACTTTGATGTAAAAAAAAAAAAATTTAAAAGCCTAATTAGATGATTTTTCACCAACAAAAACTGACTGCAAGTGATCATGTGTGACACTCTGATTAAGAGACCGACATAGGAGAGCAAGGTGTGATTTTTATCTCACTCATAAGTTCTTATGTTTTATAGGCATTGGGTGAGGATCTTTGAAGTAACAATCCACTTGATGGAAACGGAACTAAAGAAGAAATAAGTAAATCAGAGTATTTGAGGTCAAGCGACAGCAAGATAAGCTACGATTTACAGCTGTTGGCCTATATTAACAATTATAGTTGGGATCGATTGTCCCTCTCGTAGATGCTGCCCTTTTGTGTTGCCAGCAGCACGCTGTGATGGGCAAAGAGTTGATAGGGGGCAAGAGATGATCTGTTTGCCTGCCTAATATGACAGAAGTTGCCCAAAGTATCACTTTACCTACCCTTTTCTGTCTTCTGTTTAAAGTCCCATCTCAAAAAAGAAAATTATTTGTTTGGATTTTAAAATGCTTCTTTCTATTTTTCATTATTCTTTCTTTTCTTTTTTCCTTTCCTTTCTCTTTCCTTTTGATGTTTCCTTTCTTTCTTTTGATGTTTCCTTTCTTTCTTTTGATGTTTCCTTTCTTTCTTTTGATGTTTCCTTTCTTTCTTTTGATGTTTCCTTTCTTTCTTTTGATGTTTCCTTTCTTTCTTTTGATGTTTCCTTTCTTTCTTTTGATGTTTCCTTTCTTTCTTTTGATGTTTCCTTTCTTTCTTTTGATGTTTCCTTTCTTTCTTTTGATGTTTCCTTTCTTTCTTTTGATGTTTCCTTTCTCTTTCCTTTTTTCCTTTCTTTCTTGTTTCCTTTCTTTCTTGTTTCCTTTCTTTCTTTTGATGTTTCCTTTCTTTCTTTTCTTTTTCCTTTCTTTCTTTTCTTTTTCCTTTCTCTCTTTCCTTGCCTTTCTCTATTTCCTTTTTTCCATTTCTTTTTGTTTCTTTTCCTTCCTTTCTTTTCTTTTTCATTTCCTTTCCTTTCTCTTTCCCTTTTCCTTTCTCTCTTTCCTTTTTTCCTTTCCTTTCTTTTCTTTCTCTCTTTCCTTTTTCCTTTTCTTTCTCCCTTTCCTTTTTCCTTTTCTTTCTCCCTTTCCTTTTTCCTTTTCTTTCTCCCTTTCCTTTTTCCTTTTCTTTCTCCCTTTCCTTTTTCCTTTTCTTTCTCCCTTTCCTTTTTCCTTTTCTTTCTCCTTTCCTTTTCCTTTTCTTTCTCCCTTTCCTTTTTCCTTTTCTTTCTCCCTTTCCTTTTTCCTTTTCTTTCTCCTTTCCTTTTCCTTTTCTTTCTCCTTTCCTTTTCCTTTTTTTCTTTTCCTTTTCCTTTTCTTTCTCCCTTTCCTTTTCCTTTTTTTTTCCTTTTTTCTTTTCTTTTTTCCTTTTCTCTTTTCTTTTTTCCTTTTCTCTCTTTTTTTCCTTTTCTCTCTTTTTTTCCTTTTCTCCCTTTCCTTTTTCTTTTCTCCCTTTTCTTTTTTCTTTTCTTTTTCCTTTCCTTTCTCTTTCCTTTTTTCCTTTTCTTTCTCCTTTTCCTTTTTTCCTTTTCTTTCTCCTTTTCCTTTTTTCCTTTTCTTTCTCCCTTTCCTTTCCTTTTTCCTTTCTCTCTTTCCTTTCCTTTTTCCTTTCTCTCTTTCCTTTCCTTTTTCCTTTCTCTCTTTCCTTTCCTTTTTCCTTTCTCTCTTTCCTTTTTCCTTTTTTGTTTTGTTTCCTTCCTTTCTTTTCATGTTTCCTTTCTTTTCTTTTTCCTTTCCTTTCTCCGTTTCCTTTTTCCTTTCCTTTCTTTTCTTTTTTTCCTTTTCTCTCTTTTTTCTTTCTTGTTTTCTTTTTCCTTTTCTCCCTTTCCTTTTTCTTTCCTTTCTTTTCTCCCTTTTCTTTTCTTTTTTCTTTTCTTTTTCCTTTCCTTTCTCTTTCCTTTTCTCCCTTTCCTTTTTCCTTTCTTTTCTTGTTTCTTTTCTTTCTTTTCTTTTCCTTTCTTTTCTTGTTTCCTTTCTTTTTTCTTTCTTTCCTTTCTATTCTCTTTCCTTTTTTCCTTTCCTTTCTCCCTTTTCTTTTTCTTTTCTTTCCTTTTTCTTTTCATGTTTCCTTTTTTTCCTTTCCTTTTTCTCCTTTCTTTTTTTCTTTTCCTTTCTCCCTTTCCTTTCTTTTTTGTTTCCTTTCTTTCTTTTCATGTTTCCTTTTTCCCTTTCCTTTTCCTTTTTTCCTTTCTCTCTTTCTTTTCTTTTTCTTTTTTCTTTCTTTTCATGTTTCCTTTCCTTTCTCTCTTATCTTTTTCTTTTCTTTCTTGTTTCCTTTCCTTCCTTCCTTTTCATGTTTTTTTTCCTCTTTTCTTTTTTCCTTTCCTTCCTTTTTTTTCTTTTTCTTAAATCTGAACATTAGCTCCAATTATGTTCTGTAATGTTTTTTTGTTTTTTTTTTTTAATATTTTTTTTTGTCTTCCAGGAGATTGTGGGTTGGTATCGATTCCGTCCCCATTCTTCTCTGCGTGTCTCACTGAGGGAAACCGCTGTCCACCGAAGCCTTTTGCAGACCCTGGGAATCCCTCAAACAGAACATTTTGTCTTCCTCTTGACAACAACATCGGCCACCTCAAACTTGTCAACACATTCATATGATCACGTGATATACAAGTTGACCAGGTAAATGACTATACCTTATTTATACTAAGATTCACACAATACAAGGCACAAGAGCCACTCATGGTAGAGAGTTACTGAATGAGGTATGTGATATGGACATAAGAAGAGGTAGAAGTAAGTGAAGACTATGAGTATAAGGAAAATAGACAGCACTTGACACTTGACCTGAAGAGGTTAAAATTGTAGTAAGGGAAACATCCATGTGGGAGTTTGTTTCACAAAGATGTGGCTGACTTGACTTCATGTATGCAGCATGGTGAGTTCAAGCAGTAAAAGTCTGAACTAAAGTGGAGTTCATCTGAACATTTGCTATGGAAATAGCAATAGAGTAGTAATCTTTTTCTTTTTGTGGGGAAAGAGATGGTAGAGTGGAAAATAAATCATTCCTTATAAGCCTATGTAAGTGATTTTGAACTCTGTCATGGCTTGAGAGCAAGGATTCAGTAGCTCCTGCCCAGATATAGCAGCAATATTCCATTTTGGTCTGATCTGGCTCTAGTAAATCTAAAGCATGGTAGAAGGAGTTGGGTAATTTTACGAGCCCAGCATCATTATCGATGGAGATGAATTCCACTTGAGATCTGGAGTGAACTCGAGTCCTAGTAGAGGTTCATGGCAAGGAGTCTCCTTGAAGGAACGACCATTCGTAACAATAAATGAAAGCTTAGTTTCCAGTTGGTAATTATAAAATGTTACGAGCTTCAATTTAGAAGTATTGAAAATAACAAGTCAGTTTGTCTCTTTGAGGTGTTAGAGCTAGTTTAGGGGTGAGATCAGCTGCCAGGCTCTAGTTTATGTAGATTTTTGGAGGCGCACATATAAACTATAAATATGGGATATATGATTTGTGTAATGGGCAACAGCTCAGAATGAGAAATCAGAGAGCTGAGTTCAAATTCCAGTTGGGTTCATTGCATTCAGATATGCAAAAATACCCTTGGGAAAGTGTTGTAGCATACCTACGGATGATAATAGGTATGTCCCAATACAGTAGTAAATACTGTATGTTGGTCTGCAGTTAGAGATTCGTCTCCAGCTATGCTGGTCAAACTTTCTGCCTCCAGGCAAAGAGGATCCCCCGGATGAGGCTATGTCAGAGGGCAGAGTCTAGTCTCAGGGAAACAGCTACCCAACCCCAAACACCCGACATTAAATTCGGCCTAGTGGCACATCTGCTCATGTGGGGTGGTTGGTAGATATCCTGCAGTTGGAGATTCGTTGTGGAATTCACTTGACTCACTTCTAGCAGTTGGCTACTTCATCTACGCGCCACTGGTGAATCTTGTATGTGTTGTTCTTGTCCTAAGTATTATCGTTCATTACCAACATTCTTATGATTATTCTATTCAGTAACCTTTCCTTGGTTACAATAATGCTGTTTTATTTTAACATGAAAGTCTTGAGTTATACTTAATTATTAACAGCCACTGTACATCACAAAAAAAAGGTTCCTGAAATGTGAAAGTTACTGATATGATAAAAAAAAATATGCTCAGGTAGCTACGATCTATGGTTAAAAAAGAAAAAACAAAAGAGATCTTTTCTTCAAATATCTTTTTACTTTATCAAAAAAATGACCTCCATATTTAAGAGATTTTGTAATAAAAATTTTGTAAAAAAATGACAAATCTCCACAGACCTACACATACAGTATTCACTATTGTTTTTATGGGAACTGGGACATACTCATTATTGTCTGTAGGTATGCTACAACAAGTATTTAATTACAACTACAAATAAATACTTAACAAGAACAAAGAAGTAAAAATCAACCAAAGATAATTAACCATTTCAGTGAATACCTTGTTAGTAGCACGGCTCAGCTTAACGTCCGGTAAATCATAAATTAAAACCCAAATCATCAATGCACAATAATTCACACTGATTCAACTGGATAGTTCCACTCAATAGTCACAGCAGTTAGTAGCCTGACACCTCTATTTATACACCTGGCATAAAACATATATTCATAAGTCCAGGGTGTCACTGTCAAACCTCAGTGTCGGTAGTTACTCATTTTCTTCCTATATGACAATATGAATAGACTGAGATACATAGATAGATATACTTTGTGATGTACATTGGCTGTTAATAATTAAGTATAACTCAAGACTTCAATGTTAAATAAAATAGTATTTAATTACAGCCGCAAATAAATACTTAACAAGAACAAAGAAGTAAAAATCAACCAAATATAATTAACCATTTCAGTGAATATCTTATTAGTAGTGTGGCTTGGCTTAATGTCTGGTAAATCCTAAATCAAAACCCAAATCATGGACGCAGAGTAATTCACACTAATTCAACTGGATAGTTCCACTCAATAGTCAATCATCTCTGCAGTCAGTAGCCTGATACCGCTATTTATACACCTGGTGGAAAACATATATTCATAAGTCCAGAGTGTCACTGTCAAACCTCGGTGTCGGTAGTTACTGTTATGGAGTGATTTCACAGTGGAGGCTTGTATTTGTACTATGTCGGTCCTAAAATAGGTTCGACGTACAAAACATTAGGAACTTCATATAATAGGTATGATGCAGAGAAAATCTAGTTGTGGTCGCTGATACTTTAGTATCCTACTAACGGTCGTCCGGCATCGACTGACTGCCCAACCCACTGAGCGACTCCTCGTTACTCTTACTACTCCTACTTATTATAGGTGGGAGAGTCTATTAACTATAGAATAGGTGTGTTCCACTATAACAGTTACTCATTTTCTTCCTATATGACACTTTTATAGACTCATTTTGTTAGATTCTCTAGCTTTGCTCTTTGTGAAAATGATGAAGTAAAACTTGGGAATTTGTTTATTTCTTTCTGGGTTTGACTGCGGGTAACTGAAACTGGATCAAAAGGAACCACTATATCTGAAATATAACCTCAGGTTTGACCTCTTTTTTTTTTTTTTTTTCTTCCTCTTTCAGTTCCAATGAATTCACAAGCATGTCACTCTCTGTAATAAATCTCGGTGATACAACCCATTCTCAGTACAAACATCACAGTGCCATTGTAACCCCAACTGGAGCTGGCAGGTATCAATCAGTCATCAAAAGGTTTGAGTAAGTATCTTGTTTCTATATTTCAACCCAAAGAACACATAACTCTACACACACACAGTCAACTAAACCTGCATAACCTTCTAAAGAACAGAAAATTGAAAAACCTCTTAAAAAAATGCCCAATCATAAAAGGTAAACGAAAATCAAAGTCACTAAAAAAAGATACTGAAGACTGCCAAACTGCAAACCACAATTAAATAGCTTCAGATGAAAGATGCAACCAATTCCACTATTAGAAGGCCAAGAGTCTCACTTCAAAACAAACCCAAATTAAAAATAGCTTCTCATGCAGCTCAGAGAACTTAATATATAATATAACATGCAAAGGTTGCCACAAACACTACATTGGTCAAACTGGTGGCACACTCAGTCAAAGGATGACAGTTCATCGCCAACAAATTAGGGATCTGTACACTAAAAAAAATAACATATACAGGAATGCGGGGGGGACTAAATCTACCAAATTTCAATACGTTCCCATTCAACCAATGCGACTACAAGACCACTGTACAAAAACACATTAACAAAAAGAAAAATTTTTCATCAGTAAATTTTAAAAATATCCTGTGACTTGTAGGGTCATAGGGGTACCATGTGTACTGCAGCCGCAGTACACGTGGTGTTTCTTGGGCAAGATGGCCTAACAGAGCCTAACCCTCTTGAAGCTGGTTTTGAATTCAGAGTTTCCCTATCCTAGACTGGTTGCTACCCAAGGCTATACAACCCAGTCTGTCCTGCTATTTACCCATAGCTGGGGGGAGAAGAAGAGGATTCATACTTTTCCCAAGGGTATTAGCACGTATATGCAGACCAATTCCAAAATCTTCAAACGATTGTTGGAATCGGCTGTATGAATAATTTTAAACCACTCTTTTTTAAACAACTTGGCACAGGCTATATTCTCAACTAAATGTTGAGCAATAGCCGATTCCATATTCATGGGGGAAAGATAGCATATTCTATCTATCTTACCAAGTCATATTTTGGAAGGTACGTGCTGATTGATTCTAGTTTCCAAATGCAAGGTTGTACGCCCCACATAACCAGCAGCACACTGGCAATTAAATTCATATACGAAATTACTCAATTTGATGTAGGGCAATACATCCTTGTGAAAAGACGGAAACGCAGACCTAGTTCAAAAAATGGTACGTAAAGCAACTGATGGGAAACAACCGGAAACCGACTTGCTAACCTGCTTAATTAATTTCCCCTCCCCTCGTTAAAGTATATATACTTGTTTGTTATTTTAGTGTGTTTCCCCCCTCTTTTTGCTCTTCATTATCATTAATATTCTTTTTTCTGATCCAACGATTGTCTCCTGATGAGATGTTGGCTGAAAGGGCCCTAGAGACTTTTAAAATTAAAATCAATGCATTCCTTGTTTTTAAAACTATATATATAAATTTTGTACCTCCAAACATTTGTTATATATATATATATATGTGTGTGTGTGTGTATGTGCAGGTATTTAGAAAAATAGGAAAGAACATGTTAGGTAATCCAGGGTTCTTTAGTATTTTTGTTTTTATTTTTTAAAAAAATTAATTCGCTTGAGGATGAAACAGGGCTTGTTACGTTAATTCAATTTAATTTCTAATAATTATATTGGTGGTTTCGGCTCTCATTTTTTAAACATGAGAACTCTTATGTAGCGAAGGAATTATATTTTTAAAAAAAATAATTATATATATATATATATATATATATATATATATATATATATATATATATCTCATTAAATGTGATAGACAAGGGAAATTTTAAGTTTTTTTTTGTTTTATTCAGTTTTCCAACAGATTTTCTCTTATTATGTCTTGTAAACATGCAACACGACCCACACCCTGCTTTCCTCTGACCAGCCAATGACTACCCCATGTTGCATTTCCATTCTTGTTCACATCAGTATGCATCAAAATCTGAGAAATGCCTGCTCTGTGTTCACAGTATAATTCAAGATGAAGACAAATGCTGTGGCATGAAATGAAAACTCAAATCCTGTTTCTAATATATTTAGATTTTTTTTATTCAATGCTTCACTTGCACAGTCTGGGTAGATAAGTAGGTAAGGTAGGTGACATTAGGGTCACATTCTGCCACATAAGTGTAACAGCTCAGCTCTCTCCACTTCCCAACCCTCTGGCCACTATACATCCTGATGCGTCACTGATAAGAAGTACGGGTGTCATTGAAACTTTGCGAGAGACAGTCTAGTTCCCTCAATTTCAACTCATGCAACCATAAATCATCAGTGTCTGATTTGTTGTCATTTGACCTCCAAATGTTTTCTTTTAATTATTCTTTTGTTCTCTTTCAACTAAGTAGCTTAGAAAACCTGATTTCACAAGTAGGTAGGTATGTAGATATTTCTGAACAGTTGTATATGATGAAATATAGTTTTAAGGTATACTATATTTATTAATAAAAGTGCTCAATATCAGAGATAGTGTCTGTAAATGAAAAATTGGGTACTGAGGTCCACACCAAGTGGTGACAGTCTATTTAATGCTTGAACACAATCTTTACATGGCCTGAAGATTATGTTTAAGCATGAAACAGACTTTCCATTTTGTGTTGACCTCCGTGCTCAGTTTTACATGCCGTATATTTCATCCTATAAGACGACCTTTAAATCCTCAAAATCACCCTTAGAAATTGGGGGAGGGGTCGTCTTATACTACAATTCTAAAAAAGAAACCTTAAATTCTGAATGATGTTTGTTGGTAGGCAAACCTCGACCTCAGTGCGATAAACAATAACATACATAAAAAGATTCACGTTATCAAATAAACTGATAATAAAACCATTTCTACTTTATATATGGCTGGCTTAACTTCATAATAAATTGCCTATTTGAAGAATAATTCTATATCTATGAAATCAACGTGTGTCCATGCAAGGTCAGCTGAGAAAATGTAAACATCAAGTTCTGATTGCATTCACAACAATGGAATGTACTATTATCATACAATAAAGTATAAATAAATGTCCATTAGTCCATTTGACTGTTTGTATCTGTTGAGATATAGAAAAAGAAGAGGAAGAGTTAGTATTTAAAAGAGATCACGTGATGAATTGTACACAAAAAAACATAGTCTCCCTTTTAGAACTTCTGAGGTTACAGTAAGTAACATTTACAATAACATCATCATCTTTATACAATCAATAAGCAGTCGTCTTATACAACAGGTATAGAATAAAGTCATGAACATTTTCTATATTTTTTTACACTGCCTTATCAAAAGCTCGCCTTATACATGTAAATATATGGTGTATATATATATATATATATATATATATATATACACACACACACTGTGTTATAAATTTAGTGAAAGTGCTCTACTGTTTATCAGGAGCTGAATATGAAGAAATATACTCTTAAGGTGTGCTATATTTATGGGATAAAGTGCTTAATATCAGAGATAGAGCATTTGTAAATATAAAAGTGAACATTGAAGTCAACACTTAGAGGCGACAGGCTGGCCTGACAATTACGTCTAGCATGAAACAGCCTGTCGCCTCTAAGTGTTGGCATTTTATTTTTAGCAGCAGAAGCAAAAATATTAAATTTTCAAATTTAAGAATGCACTAAAAGATTCTAAAAGCTAACTGTAAGTAAAAATAAACTATGGAAGATGCTTAGTGATATAATTTAATGTCTAATAAACGAAAGTGATTAAATGTTATTATTGTTGATGTTGAATTTTCATTTTATTATTTGTTTATATTTATCTATTTTTTAATTTGTTAATATAAATTTATTACTTTATTTTGATTTGATAAACTATTACAATTTACCTGACCATAAAAAAATTTGAAAGAAAATAGTTAATGCAAGACCTTTTATTATTTCAAATAAATGAATACAGAAATAATTTATCAAATTAAAATAAATAATAATTTTTTTTTCACATTTAATAATAGTTTTACAAACAAAAATATGGATTACCAGTGGGATCACCCTTAAATGAAGTGATAGTATGTATTTTCTTACAATTTCTCGAATATATTTCCAAAATATATTACCGAAACAATCAACATATTTCCGATATATATATTGATGATGCTCTATTAAAATATCCCTGTGATACTGATTTACCTGATCTTGCAGGTAAACTAAACAAAGTTGAACATACAATAAAATTTACATATGAAATGGAAACAAATAATACTTTACCTTTCCTAGATATCAAGTTACACTGCGTTAACAGTAGCCTATAACTTATTGTCCACTGAAAATCAACTAATAAAAATGATCTCATAAATTTCTATTCTCATCATAACATCAAAATAAAATCCGGAATAATCATCGGGTTCTATTTAAGAGCATTCAAAATTTACATGAAGAGGAGAAATACATTGAAAATACGTTCAAGCTCTTGTAATACCCTAATTATTACATATTCAATGTGGAGCAAAAGGCTCAGAAATATTTAAAAATAGAAAAGCGGCCCCCTCCTGACAAACCCTGCAAATCAAAATATATTGTTCTACCCACCAACTCTATCACAACTACAATTGAAAAGAATTTATCTGAACTCAACATAAAATTTGTCACAATTACATCTAAAACAATGAAAGACTTAATACAAAACAAAATAATAAGCTAAAACTTGAAGGGGGAATTTACTCTATCACCTGTAGTAATTGTCACAAGAAATACATCAGAGAAACCTCAAAGAATTTAAATAAAAGATTATATAAACACAAAAGATATCATTACAAAACAACACTAAATGTATTAGTTGCTCATCATAACAAGACTGCCCACAATTTTAATTAAAAAAAAAAAATGGCTATAATTAAAAGAGAAAGCAATTTACTAAGACAAAAATGTTTAGAAAGTGCTTAAATCAAAAGATCATTCACAGTACATTTGTTTCCAGATTCTTATAACACTTCACCATTCTTAGTAGATCTATTATTACAATGTTGGGATGTTTAATAAATAAACAGAACATCTACTCAAATATGGGTATCCATTAAAAATAATGTTT